TGTGACGCAAGCCGGTATCTAGCCGGGGCGACCTGTCTGCTGACATGATGGCCAGTCCGTTGACCAACGCTCGTCCCATCACTGATAAAAAAGGCGAGTAATAAAACAAACCAAGGTCGTCAGAAAATATGTGATTTCGCGTACAGATTTAATACACGCATTTGAAATACAGTCGTGCACGTTTAAGATGGTATTACTCAAGGTATTCGTACCGAAAAGATCCAGAGGCCCGTTGTAAAAAAACATCAGATATACTTATGATTATCATAAGTGCAAAATGTCAAATCCCAAATGTCCGACTGTCCAATGGTCCAACAATCTATCTGTACGTATCTCGTTCTCTGTGTTCCCCTCCCTCAAAAAATACATATATATAAATAAATAAATGTATAGCAGAAGTAATCTAACTACTAGGATGTATATATATATATATATATTAGTATATAATACAACACCAAAGTTTGGATCCGATTCCAGAAGTTTTTCGGCTGTGCCCTCCAAGCCACCTAGACAGCGGTCTGGCCGCCAGCTGACCCACTGTGGAAGAAACACACTTTGATAGTAGCAAAGTCAGTATAAAAAAAAACCGCAATTAGTACGTGTCAAGTAACGTAATATACTATGTAACAGCAGTGTAGGTACCCAGCGTGCGAAATTTACCCGTGTGTTTTTCTATTTTTTCTCTAATTGTGTGTATGCATAGATATGCAGCAAACTTCATAGTTAGCAATTGCATAATAATAATAATTATTATTATTATTATTATTATTATTATTATTATTATTGTTATTATTGTTATTAGTATCAGCAATATCACTAAGCTTTATCATTATTATTATCATTATTTATTTATTCATCTATTTACTCATTTATTCATCCATTTATTTATACCTGAGTGAGAAAAGCATCATATAATTTTACTGTCTCCTCGCTGGTTGTAGACAGCGGAAGATTCTGTTGCTTCCACTCCTGCAAATGAGTGACGTGATGTGATCAAAAGGAGACAACACTGTACTCCCATACTAATATTGATACTAGTTATATCGATATGCGTGCTCTGGAGAACAATAATCAACACGCCATGGGTGTATGTGTATAAATAACACTTAACATAACGGGTCGGTTGGAATTATTGATTCAAACTGAGTTCAGAAGTAAGTGATTATTCATTTCAGATATTTCTATTATTTAATTCTGATTATGAGAATGAGAGTATAGTGGATAATGGGTAGAGGTTCGCCTTTTAAACGGACAACTAGACAAAGAGTTGGTAATAATAATATATTACGTTTCATCGGTATAAACTGGAAGTTCGGTGGAGTAGAAACTTATTAATTGCTCATTAATCGAAAAAAAAAGAAGAAGAAGAAAAAAAAAAAGAAGAAGAAGGAGAAGAAAAAGAAGAAGAAGAAGAAGAAGAAGAAGAAAAAGAAGTAGAAGAAGAAGAAGAAGAAGAAGAAGAAAAAGAAGAAGAAGAAGAAGAAGAAGAAGAAGAGGAATGAAAAGCAGATGAAGAAGAAGAAGAAGAAGAAGAAGAAGAAGAAGAAGAAGAAGAAGAAGAAGAAGAAGACGTAGACGACAGCAAAGAAGATGGTGAAAAGGAAGAAGGACCAAAAATAAAAAATATATAAAAAAAGAAGAAGAAGAAGCTAGAAGATTGTGATTGTCTGTTATTATGCCGGTACGAAATGTAGTGCGAACGTTTGGAAAAGACGTCAATTTGACCGACATTGAGTTTTAACCACTTCGTTCCTCACAATCTTTCTTCTACTTCTTCTTCTTCTTCTTCTTCTTCTTCTTCTTCTTCTTCTGTGCGTATGCGGATAAGCATATTGGAAGTGCTTCGATCCTAATCATTTCTTTCGCATACTCGTAAGCGTACATATATGTTCATAACCACACAGCCATAGTTATCCTTCGCACGAAGTGTAGCGGAGGGTAATGTTTTTGGCTCGTTTGTATGTGTGTGTGTCTGTCCGCTCGATATCTTTGCAACCGTAAGAGGTAGAAACTTCAAACTTGGTCCACAGGTGCATCTTATAGAGCAGTAGAACCCTATTGATTCTGAGTGACCTTAACCTAAGGTCAAGGTCACAGGGTCATTAAGTATATTTCGAACACTGATCTCTATAGAGCTGGGTCATAGCAGAAGGACCGTACCATTGCTAACGCGGGGCGGGGGTGTCAAGCGGTATTACCAGGCGTGTTGTGTTACTTGTGTGTGACAGAGAGTGTGTTCTTATATCGATTTATTTTACTGCGCTGCAGAATAGCGTTCTGATATCACAGGTATTGCGTGATCGCGTTTGCGGAGGATTCGCACTCCCCGAGTGCCTTCTTTCTAGTTATAGTTGACAGTGTGTGAGCTGTGCTGTGTGTGAGAAGTGCTGAATACGGTCTTGATCGGGATCCAGAACCGGGTCCAGATACGCACGCAAGTGCAATCACGGGGTAAATAATGAAGAAACTTTTATGACAATTTGGCATAACAATTTCGCATGACAATTTGGCATGACAATTTGACAAATAATGACAATTTATCATTATTAAGCCCTGATGCAATCTATTACCCTGCACTCTAGACGTCATATACAATCCCAACTAACACCGTACGTTAGGCTCGTCAGCAGTGGCGTAGACAGGTCCTCAGTTGTGGGGGGGGGGATGATTTCGCTGTTACTTCCATCGCAATGTATATGAAGAGTGGGCGCGAGTGCCTTGGCGCAAAGCTTTTAATGGGTGGGGTCCAGGGGCCCGCCTAGGTTGCAGGGGCGGCTCTTCCGGGGTCCAGGGGGCGGAGCCTCCGGAAGCTCTTGGATTTTAGCAATTTAGAACCTTTAAGATGGCCGTTTTTGAGGGAATTGAAAAAAATTGATATTGTAAGTACATTTTTGTGAATTCTAGGGTAATTTTTTCCTTTGAATCCCAGAGGTTTAATAACACGCACCTCCCCCCCCCCACACACACACAACCAGTGGCGGATTCAGAAGTAAATTCTAGGGGGGAGGGCAAATCGTGCGAGCTGAAGGGCGCGAAGCGCCCGGGGGGTGTTGGAGGGGGTGTCCCCCCACCCATAGGGGGGGGGGGACGGCCCCGTGCTACCAACTTCAAGCAGTGATAAGACGTGATTTAAGGATTTTGAAAAAAATCGTATATGGGAAATGCGTCCAAAATTAACCGTCTGCGTTTCAGTAAAATAATGTTATTCTTGGAACGAGTTACAGCCATTTTACAGTAGATGTATGTCACGTTCCATTTCTGTAATAATACATTAGGAGAGTATGAACAGCGATGACGGATTTGTAGATAAATATCCAGTATTTATTGTCTGTAAAATATTAAATTTTTCCCCATTTTCTTCCTGAAAGTAAGGGGGATGAAAGCCACTCCACCTCAATAAGTGTGGGGGGATATGCCCAAGGGCGTAAATCCCGAAGGGATGGGAGGATGCATCCCCCCGCTCTTGAAGGAGGGGGGATGGCCTGTACAAATATCCCCCCCTGAGATTCAAAAAAAAGAGAAAAAAAGAAGGAAGAAGAAGAAGAAAAAAGAAAGAAATGTGATTGTTTCAATTTCAGCATAATGCATGAGAAATTGGTTTTTTTAATGTATGAATAACTGTATAGCCTACACGTATACAGTATGTCACGATCATTTACAGTACAGGGTCTCCAACCCTGTGAACTCCAAATGCTACACCCAATCTACATCTAATAGCTTCTTTGCAGCAGATAGAGAATCGTCTGTCTTGACGCAGAAGTGAGATTTACGGATCATTTAATTGAACACAATAGGCATTTGAGGGCGGCAGACCATGCAAATGAACTCTACAAGAAAATGTTTCCAGACTTACAAATAGCCAAAAAGTATGGTTGCAAACATACAAAAACACGTGAAATTGTAAGAAATTGCAATTCTTACCTGTGTTTTAATACATGTATTATTAATATAGTAACCTAACTGTGTACGCTCTCTGAAAAGTCATGAAAGGTGTTTTGAATCCTAACTTGTAGGGTTGAGTCTAGAGTTGAGATAATGTCATCAGACACGAGAATATGGCCCACAGTATGCCTCAGATTGCAGGAAAATGGCTTAAATATTTCAAAATTTTTGGGGGGCATGCCCCCAGACCCCCCTAGCACTGGCATGACTACGGCACGCATCCTGCCCGCGGCAGCCAAGGTTAATTTCGCCCACCACCCTTCCCCTGTCCATCAATTTTTGTTGATGTTCCTATGGTAGTACCATTATACATCATTTTCTAAGTGATGGAACTCAAAATAAAGAGTTCGCATCTTTCTGACGAAATACTCAATCTTTATGTTACTACTTGAAAGTGTGCTTTCGGAGTTCATTATCGTCACCTTCCTAAAATAATACCCTAGGTCACTTTTTGAGAAAAATTATATTTTTGCCTAAGTCGTCTCTTCATGATGCTGGCCACCTCTGGTAAAATGGCCTAAGTCCTTATTGAAAAGCCCGTCGAGTGTCATCACTTCTTCGACACTTTGACACATAATTAGGCATCAATCAAGACGATTGAAAATGAAGATTTAGGGGAGAAATTGTTTTAAATGGAAATGGGTTAATTTCATTCAATTATATTGTTTGTAATGGGAATAAATATTTTGCCTAAGTCACTTACTCCAGAAGTAATTTGGCCTAAGTCTGGTGTAAAATTGCCTAAGTCACAACGGCATGTTCGTAAATTGGCCTAAGTCATCTAATTAACATAATATGTAACATATTTGACAGACAGCGTTATGTGTATTTCAAAAGTCATATATGCCCAAACCTTTCTGTATGAAATGATTAATAAATGTCACATATTCAATATTTGGTTAATATTTTACTGTTTTTCTCAAAACTTGAAAATATGACTTAGGTCATTATTTTAGGAAGGTGACGTTATAATAAAACACTACAGTTTGCAGCTGTCAGTATTTCGAAATATGTCTAATTTTTTTGCTTTATGGTTGTCAAATCTATACAAAATATGGATGAATTACGACATAGTATATACCACCACAGCAAGTCTGTGACCGTTCTGGACTTGCCACCGACTAGCCACGCAGCTACAGGACATGTTCTCAGAGCCTTTTACTCCACCTATAGTCAGATGAACTGTTTGAGTGCCCTTACTCTGGAACCTACAGACTTTGGATTTGAATTATAAGATGGCTTGCTTGTTCCAGGTAGGTTCCATCTACCTTTGCCGGACGATGTTGCAGTTGTGTGTTCCTGTGTGAAGTGTTCTACAGCAAGGTGCGTGTGTCAACAAAATGCTGCCAAGTGTTGCGAATTTTGCAAATGCCAGACCGAACAAGTCAATAACTGCAGAAACCCAATTGGTATCCTAAGGACACAGTGATCAGTATTAAGTTACCTTACCAATAATATCATGTATACTGCAAATGCTGCTAGTATTATAGCGATATGTGAAAAGTTGTCAATAAATGATGGTCATATTTGGTGGCCATCTTAGCTTTGATGGTGATGCAGTGCGTTTTTAATCTGGTTATTAGTCTCAGTGGATAACCTGACCCCTAAAACATAGGGATAGACACGAAAATTATCCTTCTATCATAAGTCCGCGAGAAGTTATAGCAGTTTATATGATACGGTGTCTCTTTCGACGGCCATCTTAGATTTAACAATGATGCAATGCATTTTCGGTACGGGTATCAGTTTTAATGGATAGCCTGACCCATAAAATATAGAGATAGACACCAAAATCAACCTCCTATCATAAATAGGTGGCGAGTTATGGTCAATTACATGAATTGACGGCCATCTTGAACGCCATCTTGAATTTCACCTATCCTTCCCATGATTCAGAATGTCTACTCAAGTTTTTTGACTCCCAGGGGTGTCCCCTACATGAATCAAGCGTCAAGCTGCGGGGACATATAAATGCACACAGGACTTCCCCCAGCTGATAGACTAAGTGGCCAATGCAGGATTTCGAGGAGGGTGGTAAGAAACAGGCGGGGGGGGGTATGCGAGTCCTCCCCAAAAAAATTTTAATCCCCCATTTTCCTCCTGAAAGTAGGGGGGATGATTGTACATGCCATCCCCCCTCACGTCAATAAGTGGGGGGATACATCCCCCCATCCCCCACCCCCCGCTATCTACGCCCCTGCTCGTCAGCACTTACTATTTACGCTTGGTATAAACCCATGCTGGTGCACGCCCATGCTGTGAGAACGTCACGTGTACAGTCCATGGTGTCTACATCTACACAGGCACTGGAGTAGTGTATATATATCTATACGTGATATACGCAGAGGACGCGTGCATGCATCGATCGACAGGTATAGGACCAATATATAGGACCTATAGAGGACTGGCTATATAATTATAGAGGTATGAACCACAAATCTCTCTATCTCTTCGTTCCTTCAAACGATGGGTTCGTCTAAATGAGACGATGGCGGCGGTGGTTGCGAGCCAAAAACACTTCGTGTGCTTGAGTGTGTGTGTACGTATGACCTTGCCCTACATGCTGTGTTTATACGTGCAGTGTGGGCTATAATTATGCTGCGTAATACCAAGAACCTGCATATGTTGTTGTATCATGCAATAGCACGTGGAATCAACTAGCAATTACACACAGTCACATTGTATAGTACATTGTAGTATATAGTGTATTATGCATAGTGTACGTATAGTGTACATGTATAGTGTATATAGTGAATAGTGTATAATAGTGTATAGTGTATAATTATAGTGTATAGCGTACGTATAGTGTATATATAAGGTATATAGTGCACATGTATACTGTATAGTGTATAGTGTATAATTATATTGTATATAGCGTACGTATAGTGTATATATAGGGTATATAGTGCACATGTATAATGTATAGTGTATATTGTATATAGTGTATAGTGTATATAGTGTATATCGTATAGTGTATAGTGTATATAGTGCATAGTGTATAGTGTATCGTGTATAGTGTATAGTGTATATAGTGTATAGTGCATAGTGTATAGTGTATAGTGTATAGTGTATAGTGTATAGTGTATAGTGTATAGTGTATAGTGTATAGTGTATAGTGTATAGTGTATAGTGTATAGTGTATATAGTGTATAGACATAGTGTATAGTGTAAGTGTAAAGTCAAGTGTAAAGTGTATATAGTGTATAGTGTATAGTGTATAGTGTATAGTGTATAGTGTATAGTGTATAGTGTATAGTGTATAGTGTATAGTGTATAGTGTATAGTGTTAGTGGTATAGGGTAATAGTGTATAGTATAAATATAGTATATATCACACAACTACGCGCGCGTAATAACACGCACGGCAGCGGATCACGCGCACGCACGCACGCACGGCAACGCACAGCAACGCACAGCACACACGCACGCACGCACCGACACACACAAACACGACAGCACATCACACTACACCTACACCATAATATATATATATATATATTTATTAATATCTGTGAATACTTGGGAGTACATAAATGGAGATCTCTATTCATGCACTCATGTAGGCCTATATATAGTGCATGTATATGTATATAATATAGTACCAGGGGTAAATAATCTCAAAGATATTGAGCTTTGAGATTATTTAAAAATGATAGTATATAGTATGTATAGTCTATACTACATAATATGTGATCATATATATATACCACGAATTAATGCAGAAAATGATTATAATCAATATACAACAAGTGTGATACAATATTTGATATCAGGGACTCGATCCCAATGCTGTTGGCATCAATAACAATATATTACCAGGAGTGAATAATAGAGTGAATAATAGGAAGGAATAATATCTCTATTATTCACTACTGATATTACTAACGGTGAAATGTAATCCAATGTAACTGGAGAAACATATGAGCCGGTGCTGGTCTGTGGTAATGGTATAGGATTGACCATCGCACTCAGAAATAAGATATTTTTACCGCGGGAAAAATAGTTTAAATGTAGTTAAATCATAGCCATTTTACCCAATCAGAGACCTAGATCAATTCACGTAATTTAACCGCGGATCAATTCTTTTTATCACGGTAGAAATAATTCAACCGCGGTAAAATTATTGCCCCTTTACCCATCCAGAGGCCTTGTTACACATAATTTAACTGCGGATTAATTATTGTAACCGCGGTTAACTTATATGTGGAACAATTATGACGTTATGTCGTTATGATGTCATATATGACGCTATGATGTCATATATGACGTTATGATGTCATATGTCATGAAGTAAAACGTCGAGTTAAGTATTATGACATTTAACATTAATAATAGTCGTAACTTCCTTACCAGACAACCTCGCCACTCGTGCTTGTCCATTCTCAGGCACACCTATATCTTGTCCCTTGCATTAAATGTCGGCACTGTTGGCCCGTGGTCCGCGGGGAATCTGGTCGAAAAACGAATGAATGGCCCCGGGAACACACGACTCGATCAAGGAACTGGTTCTAGAATTTAGCGTTGAGATCGTTGAAATTATATGTTTGTAGTGGTCGGTGGTAGATAGACATGCGCGGTTAGGCACGGTTTGATCAGCCTTATCGTTATCGCCGGTTAGCCAAGGATTAGGATGTGACACACGCTCACTCACAAACACCCCCCCCCACACACACACACACTTACAAACACTGACAAACACAGGTATGCACGTATACGCACACACAACCAAGAGCACGCGCGTACACACGCGCATACACGCACATACACTCATACGCACATACGCAGGCATGTACGCACACACACACACACACACGCGCGCGCGCGCGCACGCATACACACACGCACG